GTTTTTCAGCTCATCCTACTGCAGATATTTCATCAATTGAGTAGTTCTGTAGACTATATTGACAGTACTGACTTGGGACCCAACTCAGGTGCCTACACATGGGCATCTAGTTCCATCTGAGACAGAACAGAGTATCCTCCTTATGGGGTTGGCAGATATATCATTACAGTAGACTCAACCTCTAGCTGTCATTCCAGAAAATCAGAAGCAGGATACCCCTGGGCATCTGAAATGCCTCTGCATGCAATTAAATTGGGCCCTCGATCTCCCCTGATGATAATGAAAGCTCAGCTTGCCTGTAACCGTCTACAAGTAGACACCTAAAATTAAGTATCCAAAGCTGAAGCACATCCCTAGGTCTCAACTCAGTTGCTTTAATGTCTAATGCCATTTGAGATGCCCACCAACCTCCAACCCCCAGTTTGGAGGAGCACAGCTCTCTTTTAGGTCTTGTGTCCTATCTGACAGCCCCATGAAGATGTCTGAGTTCTTTATGACATTTGAAATGGCAGCAGACACCGAGTTCAAGCAACTGAATCAAGCCTCTAGGATTTGAGCAACTGAATCAAGCCTTTGGTCATTCCTACAAATACCCTGATCACCGCCCAGAGAAAAACAACACACCCTGTAGTCTGGTACTGCTCCGTTCATGCATGTGGAAGTGAAAGGAACAGTTACACTCTTAAGAGAGTGGAACACCTGTTAAAAATATAGGTACAACCTATTTTCAGCAGAAGAGATGTGAGCATCAGAAATAATGATGACAAAAGCACACCCGTAGACAAAATTTGGTCCTTAATATAGCTGCAAAAACTTTTCTGGGTGACTAACAGAACACCTGGCAGTATGGTTACAGAATTGCTTCCCTTTGTACAAATAATAAGAAAAAATTCCTGCAGTCAGAATCAGTAAAAGGGGTTTAAAACAGGATTCCTGAAGAATTTGCATGCCTAAATCCAAGATCACTTCTGTATTTCATATTAGTCATGCAATCACTGGATAGAAGCAATAAACAGTCTTCAGCGCTTGGATAGGCCCCAAAGCTGTCCCCTCCCTCCTAACCCCCCCAGCCAAGCAGTTATAGGGACACACTCATATTAATATCCTTTAACTACTATAGTAAAATGCTATTTTGTACATAAGGAAACAGTTTCTGAGAACTACCCTGATCCATCGGTAAGCTTTGGTATGTAAACTGTTCATGAGAGCTATGTACATAAGCTTTGTGTTATTGGCATACATTCCTTGAAGACAGGGGGTATAGGTCTGAACTCTTGAAGCACAGGATGGATGTGAAGCTGGGCATCCCTCTTCCTATGTGTGCATATGAACAACTCAGGTATGGCTTGGAAACAGGAATAGCAGCTCACTAACCCTCTTCTCTTCTAGTGGGTTTAAAAGAAACGGTAACCTATGTCCAGTCTTGAAAAAGGGAGTGTAGACACCAGTGCTCAAGGCAGAGGTCCAGGCAGTGAATCTGAAAGGGAGTATGTACATCGTGAAAGCAAGGTGATATTTAAATGCACCGATTCTCTTCATTTCCCTACTGGACGGTGTCACACACAGCATGTTGAGTTTCTTGGGACTCACTCTAATTCTTACCATGCATTTTCAGGCACCTTATGTTTCTATTTCAAGGACTAAGGGAAATGCAGACATTGTAACGCTTACTGCTTTGATGCTTAAACCCACTTTTGGCATTTAGCCTCACATATTTTCTCTATTACATATTTCTAAATACTTTTCATGATGCAAATTGTAAATTATCTATTTTGGCATTGCTTTTTGAGTGAAGCCTTGTAACAGGCTGTCGCACACATATAAAGCAAAATATCAGAAGTCCTTGGAAGCAGAAGTTACTAATGGAACAGTCACTCAAATATACTGAGCTGATGAAACTAAAATAGGCAACATGGACAAATCTAGCATAAAGAGCCATCTTTTTTTCCGCCTACTGTGTGTCATGCAGCAGCAAGAGCGGGCTGCTCCATGAAAGTACGCAAGCTGGAAGCCAAGGGTGACAGCAAGGCTGGCAGGAGCAGCGTCCTGTCCTCATCGACAAGGCCACAGTCCCACCCACCCGAACCAGAAAAGCAGGGCAGGTCTGGTGATGGCGAGCAGTTTCAACCACGAGTTCGCATTGCTGGACAAGTCTGTAGTGACGAGGCAGGTCCGAGGTCAAGCTGGGAAGTCAAGTCAGGTGGAGGATCAAGCAGGTTCATGGGTAGGCACCATCCATGCAGCCCAGGCCAGGAGCAAGGAGAAAAGGCTGGAGCTGAAGTGTAGCTCCCGAGCGAAGAGGAGGAGGCTCCCATCAAGGCTTCTCACAGCTCTGTCTCACCCAGCTCTTCTCATAGTGGTCAGACCCCACCGCAGAGCTCGCCTGGAGCACAGGCAGCCATGCTACCAAGCAAAAGAGGTTACCTCTGCACTTCATTCAGGGCCCTGATACTGTGTTCCAGAAATGAGCCTCCTAGGATAATGTTGGATTAATTCAGGGAACATGACACCATCCCCAGTCGTTGAGTGCTTAAGAGCTGTGAGCTTGGACGTTTCTCAAGCTGAAAGAGGCTAAAATCCAGATCTCCCTCTTGCTGGGCGAGCACTCTAGTCACTTAAAACCTTGTTTGAAAGTGGCCACCATGAGCTCTTTAGTTGCGTTTGAATAGAAAAATCTCACCCCTGCAAGCAGAGGCGTTGGTGCTTGCCTGTATTTGAGGATTCCTGGCCCAGCTCTAGCGCAGACAGGGACTTAACTGAAGGACAGCACTTTTGGGAAAAAAAGCTGGGGGTAAAGAAAAGGAGGAATTCAGAAATACCATAGTCTTTCCTAT